CATGGTATACCACGAGAAACCGTTGAGTAACTATTTTATACATGTTTTAGAGTGCCCAACAAAATCAATGCGACATACGCGCAGCATACGATGAGAAGGCTGGGTGTAATACCGTCGAGTATACATATTACGAAAAATTGTCTAAATCAAGTTCTAGAACAGTCTAGAACCGGAAGTCATTCATCCGTGACCTATTTGTATATGGACATTCCGGAACGTTCTATTTTTTACGCAATTACTCAGGTTAGAAACTGTGTCAAACTACTTAATTTAGCTCTTTATAGAAGTTCTAGAACCTTAAATTTTTTGTATATAAGAACGACAGTTTCGTCTGTTAAAAAAGGGAGGTCAATGTGAAGAAGCTTAGTGCTGAAAATTCGAGAAGTCAACTTGTGGAAATAAACTAGTTTTTCGCTGTTACCAGCGATCCTGAGTTCTGTCTGGGAACAACCCTGCTCTACAACGACACTCGTAACAATAAAACAGCTTTAATTTCCTGTATTCTGATTGACAGTATTTTCTATGGCATGGTATAAATGCCAGTACATCTTTTTCACACTTACCTGTGGTACCAGCTGGTACAATTTCCCTCAGATGTTTGACCACATCAAGCTTGTTGGAAGACTTTGCCTCACGTGCCAGGTAGCGGATCCATCCCTTGGTCTCGGACTCGGGCTTCTCCAGTGAGGAATGGTTTAGCTGTAGGTTCTCTTGTAGTTGAAGTACAACGCCCTGGGCATCACATGATTGTGAATGAAGCGATTCTAGAATGTCGCTAGGCAAGGCCAGAGACGTGTTTTGGTGACCTTTTAGTTTTAGAAAGATTTGCTGTTAATTGACTTATTTCATTATAAAGGCTACGACAGAAATCAGCCCCTTAATCGGTCGTGGCATCTGAATTGTTTTGAAATCACGAAGAACAAGACCAAACAATTACAGTGGAACCCCGTTTATCTGGTCACCAACGGGCCACAACAATTTCCCCATATTAACAGGGTGGCCGTATTAAAGGGGTCCTATAAATAAGAAAATGACTGACTGAGCTTTTCTTCGGGCCAGAATAGAATGGCCGTAATAACGAGGTGGGCGTATTAACAGAGTGGCCGTAAGTTGGAGTTCCACCGTACCACTGGAGTAGGGCACTTGAATGCATGCTTGGTTCACACATTCTATGATCTTATAAGGAAACAGAGCCCCTAAACTATGATCAGTCTCCTAAGGCATGCTATAAGGACACTGAACGAACCTCACGGAATGACAGCATTAAACTGGGGCATCAGGTGATTCTGAACAAGGAAGGAAGAACAAGACTGCTTAATTTCAAAAGCAAAATAATAAAGGAAGCTTACCATCCACAGAAGGCAGACTAAGTCTCTCAGGAGATTCGGTACTTCCTTCCTGTGGCTGAAGAATAGGGTAGAGAACGCAATTTTTAAAAAAGCGCTTTCCCATTGTTTTGTATTCTATACTGATGTCTGATTACGTAATACATGACAATCAATCAGTGTTGGAAGTCAAAGTGTCAAACAAGCTTACGTACGACAGGTTAGCTGTTTTAATTTGTACACGCAAAAAATGTACTGATTTTAAAGGGACAATCTTCTGGTGGTTGTTTTCCGCTAATGAAAACCTAAAACACAACCTGAACACAATTCTCTACCCAAACAATGAAAATTAGGACTCTACTGGGAGTATAAATCAAACGTCAAAGAAAGACAGCACACACTTTTCAAGTAGGTCCAAGAAAATGCTTATCCCAAATCAGGTTTTGTTTGCTATGAATTTCTGTTATAGTTAAGAATTTTATATAGTATAACATGAACTATATACACTGGTGAACTCTCTCTATAAGAGAACCATACTACACGTCTATGAGATGGACACCCCTATAAGAAGGACAATTGGTGTTGTTGCCTGCCGTTTTTCAGCCGTTTTACTGTAACGAAACGCTCTACATGACGGACACCTCTCTGGGGCAACGAACACTTAAAAACCAGCAATGGTCACTTGACAAGTGCTTTTTCAGTGAAAAATACTTCAAAAACGCAAATGTAGGTGCTTAATGTAACAGCAAATTACGATTCAGGGGGACAAAATTCGACAGACGTGTAGTCATTGTGCATAGGTTCAGCTTTAGCATCTCAGAATTGCTATCGTCATGTTACCTTGGCTCTCTGTACTAAGACGGACAGTTTGGGCCGGTCCCGATGGTGTCCGTCTTAGTGCACGTGGGAGTTGACTATATGACTCAGTTGATTTTGTTTTTATACTTGCTGCCCATATGCTTCACAGTTTCAAGATTACAAGAATAAATTACCGCTAAATTACTCTGGGGATGATGGTAATGATCGTCCAAAGTTGTCGCGTATAAATGGTCAGAAAAATAACATCGATTGACAGTGTGTTGCAAAAATAATATTCCACAAGTTTAAAATGTATAATACTCACATTTTCTTGGGAAAATGCAAACCACGGAGCAAACTGCTTGACCTGAATTCTGTTATCCTGTGCGGTAGCAGACCTGGTGCACATGATGATCCCTTTAGATTTGTACATCTCAGTCTCAGAGAAGAAGTGAAGGCATTCTTCTTGCTTACAACCCTTTGCACGATGATTTTGGCAGTAGCTGACCTCACCTTGTCGACAACAGACTGGGCAGAGGAAACTCATTTCACATCTAATGCTTTTTAGCCAAAAGAACTCATTGCGCATCGAATCAATCATCAATGCTAGTTGGCTACGTACAAAATGGGCAGGACTCATATCAGTGTTGCCATGGCAAAACCTTGCAGACAAGTCCACTTTTGAACGAAAAAGTCCTGCTAGAGTAAGACGACTACTGTTTTCACCAAGAATAATGACCTCAAGTGAAGATGAATGGCAAAGAAAGACCACGGAAAAGTCTTCATCTGGCAAGATATAAAACCTAGCAAAGTTCTGAAAAAATTGGTGAACATACTGGCTTGGAAATTCTTCAGCGCACCACTGAAAGAACTTCACTACGAGTCGGGGAAACAAGCCTGCAGGAACCCGACCAGAATCAAATCTCAGGAAAAGAGAGGGAAGCTGAGCAGAGGCAACCAACTTGATAATACCTTTGGGAGGGAGTGACATCAACATGGATGGCACCAGATACTGCCTACTGCATGGTGCATTTAATGACGGCAAAGGACAAAGCAAGCTGAACTTTTCCATGATTGCAATAAGACTCTCAGAAGTTTCTTTGTGATCAAACAAAGGGCCCCAAACATGTTTTAAAAGTTCTTCCTCCAGAATGCCTGTTGTCTCGAGTTTACGCCATAGCTCTTTAAATTTTCTTTCCTTGTAATCATAAGGCTTAACAGTAATCACCTTTTTAAACACATCAATCAACCACTGAGGGTCCAAGACCACCAAGTTGTTCAGCTCTGGACTATCGTCAAAATGAATCAATATTCTCTGGTCATGTAACAAATTCAGCAATGTCAAAATCTCTTCATCTTCACTAATTGTGCATACTTCTGATGCAATTTGTTTAGCTCTTTCAAGAGAAATGTGTTTGTAGCCATCTTCCTTCATGACTCGCAGTGCCTTCTCGTATTTCAGCCACTTGATTGGAATAGCTTCTTTCATCTGTGGTAGCTCCTTAGCTACATCAAGGACTTCTTTTCGCAGATTCACAACATCTGGACATTCAGATAAACTGCCCGACTTTGTGTTATCCACAACAAAGACACGTTCGACCAACTGGGAACTGTATGGCTTGCTCTGAAGCCAATCAAAAATTTCATGAGCGAGTTCACGAGGATTACCACCACCATTAGGTGTATCAGCATGAGTGCAAACCAAGAACACAGGAGGAAGTTTATCTGGTAACAAAGATTCATAATCTGAATGTTTTTTACTGACTTCATCATGACTAATTAGGGAAGCAACATGGGTCATCCAAAAATCTAGATAATCCAAATTGGTTTTCAGGCAAAAGTTGTCTTCAACTTTCTTGAACATTCCTCGCTTCACAGGAGGGTTGGCTCTGTCGTGTGGGTTCTGGCTAAGATCATAAATCAGGAGATAAATTCCTCTTGCTGTAAGAAACAGTGGATGGGTGACATAGTAGACAAACTGCCCACCAAAATCCCACACAGTTGAATAGATATCCTCATCGTCTACTTCTTTGTTGACCTTTTGAAGCAACGTTTCAACCAAAGTTGCTATCTCTTCAGGCACCTCATTTGTAATGAAAGAAGTGTCTTCTTGATTACCGTTACTCGGTTCAAATGCTTCATATCCTCCTTCCTCTGGCTGCCCTGAGACTTCAGAAGGAAATGCATGACTTCTGGGAAGGGAAGTGCTTCCAGACTGGACAGGCTCTGGCAAAGATCTTTCCTTTGGCTTCTGCCTTTTCTCTTTCAAACTACCCACAATCAGCTGTGCTGCATGATGCTCATAGGAAATTCCATCAAAAGAATTTGATTCTTGATCCTTCTCCCCTAACTTCCAAACATCTGTTGACACTTTGAAATGTGCAGGATCAACATCTATGCCTACAGTGCTGTCTTCATCTGGGTTGAAAACCAGTCCCTTTAGTGACTTCTTTACACTAGTCTTTCCTGATCGGTCCTGGCCAATCAACATGACAGGCACTCTCTTGACACTGGTTTTTCCCTCACTAAGGGCTTTATTATAAGCTAGCAAAGCCGAGGCTCCTCTGGCAAGAATCTCTGGAGGAACTATAAACAACAAACATGACGTCTGGTAAGATAATCATTTCTCTCTCGTTGTTGCCTACAATGCTCTTAATTCAACATACAACAGCTAAGTGTTAGAAAATCCCAGTTATACCTTGGCGTGAATGTCACACCTGAATAGCTAAGCGTATGACACAGTAAACTTGTATTGTTTTGTATTGTAACGTAGGCTTAAGTACATAATGAAGTCACAAAACCAAGTTGCATGCATATTATTCTATCCAAATGCCAAACAGCTCAGAAGCAGGAAAATATTGCCGAGGTACTTTTCACATGCTTCCTCTAGTAACTTTTGCTGTTGTTTAGGACCCTATTTAAGAAGCTAGGATGGGTAGTGTGCCTACAGCATCAGAGACAATGACACACTATCAGTGGGCAACATTGACCACCTGATCTGTTCTCCCTCCAAGAGGGCCGCCCTGCTAGCCCTAATTCCCTTGTCTTGATTCTGTGCAGACATACATATATATGGTGGGGGGGAGGTCCTGTTACCCATTTCAGTTTTGCAAAGTAAGGCCCCCAGGGGTGATTCACTTTTGTGCATAACGGCGAACTCGATGGGAAACCTCGTATTTTACAACATATAGCCCCCCGAGGGTGATTCATTTCTGTGCGTAACGGTGAACGCGATGGCAACAACCGTATTTTTACAAAATAAGGGTCTAAAGGTGGTTCTGAGCCAAATTTTAATTTCACAAAATAAGACCCCCCAATGTGATTCAGTTTTGAGTGTAACGACAATCTCGATGGTTGAAGTGAAGAAAAAAGCATTGGTTCGATTGGTAACAAAAGTGTGCCTCAAGGCTCATAAACGTGGACAAACATGGGCAACTTCGCGTGTTATTTCTCTAACATTTTTTTGCCACTCTGGCGTGAAATACTCGTTCACAAGAGACGCGAACATGTGAAAGATTACAATCATGTTTTTATTAAATGCAAATAATAATTTCTGTTTTCAAACTTTAATTCGAACTTCCGGCGAGGGGGTTTAGTCTTTTTCCGAAATGCTTCTTCTACCTCGCTCGGGATGTCTTTTTTCCTTTTTAACTTGGAAAATGTTTATATTTTCCAAGTTGTAGTGGTGGGACGATTTCACTCCGTCACTCCTTCACTCCTTCACTTCCTAAAGAAGACTTATGTGGACGTTGCTCGAGCTTCATTAGACCCCTAAAAGATACCACTTGAAACGAAGTAGGTTCGATTACTAGCCACTGTTCAAGAAAGGATTCTTCGCCCACTTCCAGACCCGACTCACGTACTCGAAAGATCAGCGGAAAACAAATGAGAGCGTTTCTTTTATTATTATTTCTTTGATTGCACCCTTGCCTAGTTCCTAGACCACAATATTTCGCCGCGGTCAATCATTTTGGGGCACGTGGTCTGGGGCGAAATTTGTGGCCTAGACAAAAACCCGAAAATTGAGACAATTTGTCTCAATTTTTCCCCGAGCCGCTTTTGTCTCGTGGAAGGGAATTCTCTGGGCATTTCTGGGAGAGTGACCGCTAGAGAAAAGCAATTTAAACTCTTCACTTTTGTTTTGACGTTAACTGGTCAAGTTAAACTGCTCATTTGGATCCAAATGGACATTATCGAGTCAGACGCCAATCGGCGCTTTCAAACCACTGGCGAATACTGATTACGCAAAACATTTATGCCTTTGAAGGTTTCTTTTACATGTAACCGTAATGCTAGATCACAAAATTTCCTAAATTTCGGGTTCTAGGGTAGCTTTCTACTTTAATTATTTAACTATAGTTGGTCCGCTATGCCATAAACAAGAATTCCCTCGCAGCGCTGTCTTGTAACCAACAAGTTTTATGGAGGATAATTAATTACCTTGCGAAATTAAACTTAACCTTGCATGTAATTTCTATATGTACATTTTTGTAAGAACCACTTAACCACAGGCTTTTTTGCGATAACTGCTGAAACTCTCGTGCGCTCATTGGCTAATTTTTATTGTCAATAAGCTGACAGACACATGGATTTACAATTTATGCGATGTGTCAACGAGCGAGAGCGGACAATTCGACAATTTGTTATCATAAAAACAAATTGATATCAGTTTTTAATGCGTCTGTCCTGTTATTGACAATGAATTTCGTCATAACATTGTCAAAGTAGTCTGCGGATCCACTCGACTATCGCCTCATGGATCCACAGCTACTTTGACAATGTTATGACAAAATTCATGATCAATAACAAGACCGACGTATGAAAAACTGACGTCAATTTGTTAAATAGACAACAGGTTCCTTCGGCCGGTTACAGCTCTTTCAAAAAGTCTACAAAAAAGTAGTTTTTAGTACGACGTCCGTAGGACGAAGGACTATTGAGGTTAGAATATTGGGAAAGATACTCCAAGTAAGCGAAATGCTAGTTTCTGATCGCAAACGTGGCCTTCAGATGTCAATATTTTCGTCAGCTAGACACAATATGACGACATACTAAAAGAACGTAACAGAAATCTGTTAAACTTTTCATCGACTTTTCCATTGTTAACTTGTAGCTGGGGCGCATATGAATTCCCTTACAGGGTAGGTGAGGCAAGTGGCCCCTTGAAAATAAATTCCCACTCCGCAGAGATTTCTTTGGTACCTATCGTGTTTTGGTCCTTTGCATATTCCAGGGGGTAGGGGAAACGGTTCTTTTTTATCGCAACATCGAAAATAAGGATGGCGCCGTGTGTCGTGGTTTTCTTCTGGACGGCAAAATCCTGTACTTAGAACCAAAACACACCTTTAAAGAGATCGAAATAGTAATAAATAAGCATCAAAAGAAGACTCTAGCGATGGTTAAGAGAGTAATGATGACTTAGAAACAATGATATATTCCTTCGGGTTGCACGAAGGTCTGAATCAAAGGTCTTTGTGAAGACATATAAACGAAAACCGCACTAGGGAGCACAACGGAACACTACGGAACACTATACGGTACACTACGGTATGGAAATATCTCTAGTTCAAACAAATGTATCGTTTATTAAATTAGCATTCTCTTCTAGAGGAATTGTTTTAGTGTTATTTAAATAAACGTTTCAGCTGACATTTGCGTTCTCAACAGATCAACAACAACAAGTATTTGGATAAGACAAATATACTTTTGAAGAACGCTGATATCCAAGTCACTACTTTTCATGAACACAATCTTTATGGCGTACGTCTATTATTTTAACCGCTCGTGAAAAACACGAGACAGGGTCTGTAGCTCTACAAGTCCCACCTTCAAGATCACCGGGTTGATACAAATATCTTACATTCACGAAAGGGGAGCTATTTTTCGCTCAGCCAAACAGGTCTGGAACATTTTGAAGAGGATTTTGAGGCGACAGCCTTCTCTTTGATTGTAAAGGCGGGTTTCTTTTTTCGATCAGACTAGTCACCTCATTGTTCAGAGCGGCAACAACGTTGGAAAGCCTTTTGACCCACGCAGTTGACCACTGGCCAGAAGGCAGGAGCATTTCCACGGCATACTTATGGGCGAATAAGCGCTCGACCAGTGCGCGGTTGAAACGTTCAACGATAGATTGGACACTGTGAATCTCTCTCTGTTTTGTGATTTTCCATCTCTTTCGTCACACTACCCATAAACTCGCGCCATTTGCTTGCACCGCCATTGCTATAAACATTTCTGAAAAAATGTTCAATCAAAAATAATGGCAAAAGATGGTGGCTTTGGCAGAGAGAACCCCTACCTTGACTATGGCCTTGACCACGATGATCGTGATGAAGATAGACAAGAGATAAACTCTCTAGAGATTTTGGTAAATTAGGCCCAATTGCTCAGATTGCTCAACAGCTCAAGCTCAAATTGAAGCCACTGAAATCGAACAAGGAACGACTGTTGAAAGTCAAGCCGAACTGTGCATGCTAAGGCAATAGAACAAGAATTTACAAACTGATTTTGAAAACAATAAAAAAAGGCAGCTTCCCTCGAAAAAGGAAGCAAAAACAGAGAAAAAGAACAAGCCCAGATCGAAAGACTCAGAGCAAGCATCACAACAAAAGAAAGTGAAAGAAATACCCTGGAAGGAAGACTCAACGAGACAGAAACGTTGGATGAGCTGAAAGGCGATCGCGAGGAAGAGGAAGTTCAGGCAATTATCCAAGATGAGAAAGGCTCACCCTCTGACAAAGCGCCCACAGAAGGAAGAGTGGCAGAAAGAAACGAAGAGTTCGCATGTTTGCAAAATCAGATTTCGGCAAGGGAAAGGCGCGGCCTCTCTTGGAATGAAAGATGCAATAAACAAAGGCTTCTATTGACTGATTTATACTTGACACTTCCACCTGCATCAAACCAGAGGCTGTGTTTGAGGCAAATCAATCATACTGATAATAAACAATGTCGTCGCAAATAATCAGGTTTCCATTGATCACTTTGCTGCCTTCATCGCTGAATTTATTGTTACCTGGTTAAGCCTTTTCTGTTTTCACAGCTCTCGTCTCTGCTACATAAACGTAAATCCTACCCAGATCATGGTTTGTTCCGTGTGTGGAGTGAAAGGCGGTTGAAGGGACGATTCCGAACTCATTACACAGCCTTTTGGATGAGGCAACGTCATAATGATTATCGAATTGAGTGCTGAATCCCCGGGAAAAGCACTTATGCTCTGAATACCTCCCAAATGGAACAAAACTCACCTGGCGGTGAAGAACACATGGAAGATATAAAAAGCTTAGACTGTTCACAGTCCCCTATTTTTCCGTGAGATCGTAGATGTCGATCGTTGAGCTCGACGGGCCGCCATCTTGATGCGAGCGAAACTGGAGAGAGTACAAAATGCCCGTAGGTAGGGGTGGTGGAGGGCACGGCTGGCAGAAAAAATAGGGAGACTGTAACAGCTTCACTCTGTCTTGTGTTCAAGGGGCACGGCCGCCAGTTTGGCGCCTCCGTTAATCAAATCAATTAACAATCTCCTCCCCTGAGAAAAAACCTGTCAAATCAGGGATGATGATATGATATGATATGATGATATGCATGTT